TTCTGCTGCTCATGAGGCAGGACGCTTATATTTGTATTCTAGCACCGTGCAAATGCTTTTTAAAAAAGGTCGTCTCTTACTGGTCGATCAAAAACGAACACGCTACAAATTCCTCTCAGATAAACAGATAAATTTATTAACCTTTTATTGATCATCACAATTCATGCTTCCAAATAACGATCATTTTAACTGTTAGCTTGTCTTTTTTTTTGGATTAATGATTAGTTCTGTGGTTTATAAAATGTACCAAAGTGATGAAAGATGTTGATCCCCAAATCCAAGATTCTTAAAAGTTCTGTCCAAGATTCAAGATCAACTTTATTGGTTCCCAGACATGGGACGCTTGTCTTTGGCTGTTTTACCGACGCTGCAGCAAACAGGGAAAATAACCAGTTAATAGATAGAAGTTAAAGATAAAATTAATATCCACGTCAAAACCCCCCAAATATGTTCAGTTTACTGTCATAGAGGAGGAAAGAAACCAGAACATAGTCATGTTTAAGAAGCTTCTTTTTCTTTTCTCCGTGAACACTTATTTAATTGGATTGATTATTAACATTCATGGCTAATAATTCACTTATTATTGTCGGTGCAGCTGCTATCACACACTGCTAACACTGTTTAATCCATATTGGTTCCAAATATTGGTTATTGGCCTTTCTTGATCATCAATAAGCGATATCGGCCCTGAAGCAAACAGTCGATTCCCACCTGGAGCTGGATGTGAGCTTGACTGAACGTTCTAGATCAGGACTCTGAAACTGATGATCACAACTTTTCACGTCTCATCGGAGAGTTTGACTGAAATCGTGCACCGCTGTTTGTTTTTTTTAACCCTTCCTGCCATCGCTATGGCAACCTGTTTGGATCAACCACAAACATTCAAAATGGTCAGAAAGCACGTCTTTAAAATCTAGTTTTTAAAGAGACTGTAAGCTCGCCCTGCCCCGACTGCACAGCCCTGTTAGGGTTAATTAGGTATTGATTTGATGGGGACCAAGCAAGGGGCCCTGCTCTAAAGGCTTCGGTCATACTGCATTATTAATGCTCATGCAGCTCTATTTATAGCTCATGTCCAATGGTCACAAGAAAGCCAAACATTGGTTCCTCTGTGCTGCTTCCCTGCCTCCCTGTTTTTCTTCCCTCTCCGTTCTCAGATTGATTGCGCTGCTTCCCTCAGTGTCGAGTTCCTGTTGGAAATGGGAGAGATGCTGCTTCTTCACGCGTGTGTGTGTGTGTGTGTGTGTGTGTGTGTGTGTGTGTGTGTGTGCGCGCTTTCATTTAAAACCCTCAATGAATTTTTGAGCAGCTCGGTTGCTCTCGACAGCAGCGGCGCAGCATCACCGCGAGTGTTTTATGTTTTTTTAAGCCTTTAATGTTTCGCAGCAGCACTCGCTGAATTTCCCCGATGCCGTGTTCGAGACGAGTCCGGCTTTTCCTGAACATTTCGGAAAGCTCGTTGCAAGAAAACGAACAAATCTCCTGTCGGTTAAGCGGACGCTGTTCTGACAGCTGAGCGAGGATTCAGATTTAGGAGAAAACTTCTCCTCTCGAAATCAAAGTTTGTGCGAGCTTCTGAGATGAACATGAAAGATGTGTTTTGTGTGCGTTGGGTAGATTTTAGCATTTCAGATTGAAGGCTTGTCTGTGATGGTTTGTTGTTGAGGAGAAGGTTCCCATTTAGCCAAATTCCTACCAGCAGGTGCCACAACTGTCAAAATTGCACTTGCTGGTTACTTTTATTGCCTCAAGGTGGTGTTTGTTAGATAAGAGCTATAGCTAACTACATGATATACATACATCCTATCTGTGATCCGACATCTGCAGCCGTCAACAAGCTCCCATTGTGCCGTTTATACATGTTCGCATAGTTGAAATTATTGGTTGGCGTTTTTTTTTTTTCCTTCCTTCCTGGTGCACATGGATTAGCTCGATGTCTTGTGATTCCTTCCACGCGTGTGTTTCTGTGTGTGTTTGTGTGTGTGCGAGTCTCTTAAGTTTGTGTCACAGCGCTGTGGGCTGCGCTGCCGGACTGAAGTGAAATGAAGTGACACAATGGAGGTTTCAGAGATTGGGGACAGCTCTGTGTGTGTGCGTCTGTATTCACGTGTGGTTTTTTTTTGCATCACACACTGACAAAATCCCAGATGCCATGATGTATGTAAGTGTGTGGGTGTGTGTGTGTGTGTGGTCCCTCTCTCTCTCTCTCTCTACCATGTCATGTGTAAACGCTTTTGGGCCTACAGTGTGTTCACTAACTGACCTACATTTCTGGAGCTTTTTTGCCCGTCGGCTCAAGAGACTTTGTCGCTGTTATCTCATCTAGCCAATCACATCCCCTAATCTCATTTGTCCAATCACATCCCCGATCTCATCTGTCCAATGGCGGCTTCGGCCTTGTGGTGGTGGTGGTGGTGGTGGTGGTGGTGGTGGGGGGGGAGTCATCGTCTACTTTACCGCCAGATGCATTTGCCCCTTTTAAGTATGAAAACACTCGCCATCTCACGGCCCAAATAGCACCGAGGTCTGAGTAACTTTTACTTCCAGGGATGATTTCTCACGCTGCAGCGCTCCAACCCTAATTATTTCCCTCCCCACCTCCTCCTCCTACCTCCATGACTTGAAAGGCGAGCGGTATTTCTGTGCATACATGCAGCTGGAGTGGAAGAAAAAATTGAAGCTTTTGAAAATTCTTTGAAGCTTCCGTTTTTTTGTTATCAAAGCCGCCTTTGTAGGCCGCATGAATTTTGCATGCGCAGGTTTAAGGGAACTTTGTGATGTTTGTGTGTGTGTGTGTGTGTGTGTGTTGGGTGTGTGTGTGTGGGGGGCTGCAGATATGTTTTTCTACCGTATTGCAGCAACTCTGAAAATTTGAGGAAAAAAAAAAGAGGAGGAAGAAGGTTGGCTGCCCGTCAGAAGATGAATTCTTTTTGCATTCACCTCCGAATCTGCAGCTTTACGTGTTTGGTGCTGCATCGTGCACACGTGGTTGTTTTCCATATTCATCAGGAATGAAACCGGATCTGCTCAACAGAGAACGTCCTCATAGTCGCAGCAGATTTTCTAAAAGTTGACTTCAGCAGCGTTTTGCCATTGATGAACCCACCTGACTCCCTCTGAGCTCTGGCCCTGTGGATTCATATGTGTGTGTGTGTGTGTGTGTGTGTGTGTGTGTGCTGCTCCTATCATACCATCACCACATGACAGGCCGGCCGTGCTGGAATTTAAAGGATAGCACGACTTCTTTTTCTTTTCTTGTTTCCTGGCACTGGGCCAACACAAGCTAAAAGACTAAAGGGCTGCTAATGAGGGATTTCTCTCTCTCTCGCCCTCTCTCTCTCTCACACACACACACCAGCACACACACTTTTTGTCGAGGCAATGTGACTTAAACGCTGGCATTTCTGCATGTCTAAGCCCATAATCAGGAATGTGCTCAGTGAACACAGTGGAGCACATTTTTAAGCTAAACTGAACAAACATGACAAAAAAAAAAAAAACCTCTCTGCCAAATTAATAGAAGGTGACGGAGGTCCAAACGGCGTCGGGTTGAAGCTCCATCGTCATTGTTTCAAAACAATGTGCTGAGCACAGATGAGAAAACATGTGTCATCATCTTACCTCTAATGGATCGTAATTGTCTCATATCCTGTAGCCATTACAGGAAAACATCATAAATGTCACATTAAAACCAAATATAACAGATTCATAACAGCCAGATTCCTTCCATAATTAGTCACCGGGCTGAAACCTGTAATAACCGTCCAGGAACCCGGCGCTGAATCTTCGCCCTGCTTCGTTGTTTTGGAGCTGAAGCCTTGTTGCTGCTGTCGATGGTTTCAGAGCAGAGAACAGACGCATTTCCATGCAGCCGCGGTTCATCGGCGCTGCCATGTAAAGTATGTGGCCTCAGACGCTCACCTTCGGCTCCGAGAGAACTGGCTGCACTTGAACTGTATGTGCTCACATATGTCTGTATGTGTGTGTGTTTATAT